CTATGCATATCCAAACGTGTGAAAATCTGGAAGAATTTCTCTTATTTGCGCAGACTTGTATTTTCTCCTGCATTGTAGACTACGATGACCAGAAGGCTCTTTTGCCAATACTGACTGTTAGAAATCTCTTTCTACTGGAATTTTGAAATCATTCACTTCACTGTCTTTAAGCTTCCAGTGTTGGTGTTGAGAAATCTGAAACTATTCTGATTCTTGATCCTTTGTATGTTTTATTTTCTTCCCTCTGGCAGTTTGTCCTTAGTGTTCCTGAACATTTCCCAAGGTATACCTTGGGATTAGTCTATTTTTTTTTTTTGCTGTTGTACTGAGCACTAACTACAGGCTTTCAATCTGGAAACTCATGTCCCTTAGTTTGGGGATTTTTGGAATAATTTCTTTCATTGATGATTTCTTCTGTGCTTTCTGATCTCTGGTTCTGGAATTACTATTAATCCAATGTTGGGCCCTTTGGAGCTGTCTCCTAATTGTATCCTTGTTTCCTTTTTTCCATCTTTGTGTGCTTTTACTTTCTGAAATTTCCTCAACTCTATCTCCCATATTTTTCACATGTTATTACACTTTTTAGTTTCAAGACCTCTTGTTTCTTTTTTTTTTTTTTAAGTTTATTTTTGAGAGGGAGAGAGCCCACTCAAGCAAGCAAGTGGGGGAGGGGCAAAGAGAGAAGGGAGAGAGGATCTGAACTCACAAACTGTGAGATCATGACCTGAGCCAAAGCTGGACACTTAACTGATTGAGCCACTCGGGTTCCCCCTCTTGTTTCTTTCTTTCTTTCTTTTAAATTTTTTTTAATGTTTATTTTTGAAGGAGAGAGAAACAGCATGAGCAGGGGAGGGGTAGAGAGACAGAGGGAGACACAGCATCTAAAGCAGGCTCCAGGGTCTGAGCCATCAGCACAGCGCCTGATGCGGGGTTCGAACTCACAAACCACAAGATCATGACCAGACCCGAAGTTGGACACTCAACCAACTAAGCTACCCAGGAGCCCCTGCTGTCAGTATCTTTAGGGTAAAATTTCCTCTTGACGTGGACAGGTGCAAAGTAAAAATGTCCAATGTCTTGCCTGAAAAGTAAAAGTCTGGCTTCTGCTATTTTGGGAGTCAAACAGGGAAGGGAGCTTTGGGAGAGTTGTCCTCTCAGGATTTAGTATTTGGTATGCATTTGGCCACAGACTCCTCTGTTTTTGCTATAGTACCTAAGACCTCATCTTCTCTTCTAAAATTTAGTCTTTGACCCTATTTCTTGACACAGAGTTGCTAAATGCCTTGGAATTTCTTGGGTGTGGCAGTAACTTTTGTTCTAATGAAGTGACTTTTGCTGGTTTCCTGGATTTGGAATCAGTCAACTAAAAAGGTCAAGCCATGATTAGGAGGTTGGAGCTTTCAGAGCGTCTGGGTTATCGAACTCAAGGAGGGGGATGTGGGCACACTGAGTATAAATCAGTAGAAGCACAATCAGTCAGAAGTACAGGGAACAACCTGGGCTTTGAGATTGGCATCTGAAGTGATGGGGAGGTAAGATAGTCTCATGGGGCTGAGCCCTTGTGGGATCTGATGCTATTTCCATGTAGGTAGTGTCAGAATTTAGTTAAATTGTGGGACCCCCATATAATGTTGTAGAGAATTATTTACATTGGGAAAGAACTCACACATCTGTTGTCGGAAGTGTTCTGAGTGTGGAAGTGTAAGTAAAGGAGAAATAGCAACAGTTTTTCCTACACAGCTTGTAAATGTGATAATTTAATCAGTTAAGCTCATAAAGCATGTTCACTATAAGAAACAGTATTTGTTCTAATAAACAGTTTAGCAGAAACTGAATTGGTTCATATTAGCTGTAAATAATCTTACCAGCATTGTGATAATTAGCCTACCAGCTGAAAATGAATTCACAAATCCTGGGTTCAACTAACCTGTCAGCATATATACTACATGGAATCTGTTTCTCTACTCTAGATGAAGAAAAAAAAAAATAAAATGTTTCCTCTGATTCATTCAGCAGAATGTGTGTCCTCATCCTCCCACAAGTAAGGGGAAGGATTAGAGGGAAAAGAAAGGAATGAGAAGGAGAAAGATGCTAAAAGAAGTAAACAGAGAAAAGGAGAGAAGATATATGGGAGAGTAAAGCCATCTGACTACCAGTCACAATTGTAGTTTAGGTTTTCTGGTCTCAGATCAATCAGGTACCATCAGTCTGAACTCTGGAAATCCATAGAAAAGAAACCTAGTTCATCAGTAGTTAGCAAAGTTAAAGCCTTCCAATTTTGGTTAACTGGAAACAGTGCGTTATTAAGAGAGAAGTAGAGACTATTCTAGTCATATGTTTAGAGAATGTTAAGTCAACTGGGAAGGAGAGAGACGTAAAAGGTTGAAAAACATGATTTGGCTTCAGACTGATGGAAGGTAGAGTTTATAATACCTATATAATTATTGGGGTGTCTGAGCCTGGGTGGCTCAGTTGGTTAAGCGTCTGACTTTGGCTCAGGTTATGATCTCGCAGTTCATGAGTTCGAGCCCCAATGCAGGTTCTGTGCTGACAGCTTGGAGCCTGGAGCCTGCTTTGGATTCTGTTCCTGTCTCTCTCCGCCCCTCCCCTGCTGACACTTGGTTTCTCTCTCTGTTTCAAAAATATAACTATGTAATAATTGATTGGCCTATATTTTGTTTCTCAAGAAACGATCACAACTTTAATAGCATGGGTGTATTATATTCAAGACTTCTATGTCTTCTAGTGAAGTGGGAGTATAGCAAAATCAAGTGGGGAGTCCTTGAATATTGGAGGAAACAGAAGACAGCAGTTTACACTGCAAGTCAACTGCAATGTAGTTGCAGTACTACTACCTAACCTAAGTAAAAAGAGTCCTTCCATGTTTCAACCTGGCTTACTAGGATTCTACACTGGAGCTGGGAGCCAAGGCCCACGTAGTAGCAGAGCGTTATTTAACCTTGCTTTGTTCTCTAGGTCTTTATTTCCCTCAAGAAGTTCAGGAGGTGGTGTCTCATTGAAGGTAGATTATGGTCCTTTGCACCTCATAATCCAACCATATGTTTCTCTAGAAATATAGGGCACCCTACTTTGACATGACATTTATGTAGAAACATACAATGAAATACTATACAATCATCAAAATTATATGTAAGATATTTAATGACATGGGGGAAATAATACAGATATATTACAAAAGAAAAACTGGATTATTAAACTATAAGGGAAGACTATGACATTTTAAGACTTTATAATTATATATACATAGAAGGAAAATATATAGTGGAATAACTTGACGATTAAGATTATGTTTATAGTAAAAATTAATAACATGAGAGTAATACAATGTTAAATGAAAAAAGGTAGATGCAATATTGTATAATTAAGTAATTGAATAAAGTGTGATTTTGACTTTGTTGAAGGTGGATGTAGAAGAAACTAGAAGGGAATACATAAGAACGTTGGCAGTGGTTTCCTCTGAATGTTGCAGTTATGGGTGATAGAGTATGGTGAAGAGTGCTGTTTTCTTTATACGCCACTCTTTTTAATGTGCATGTGCTTATTTATGGTATAAACCCATCTTAAAAGTCTTCAACTCTTAAAAAATGATGCTTCAGGATAAATAAGCTGCTAAACATTTCAAGAATTTGCCTAACTCCAATAGAAGGAAGAGATGAATCTGAAGGGCCACCATCTGTAAAAAGAATGAGATATGTACTGCATCCTCCAGAAGGTGGAACAGTGATTAGCAGGCAATAGATTCAAAAGAACAGATATCAATTCAATGTAAACAAGAGTTTTCCAATAATTAGAACTGTCTCAAATGGAATATCCTTAAGATGTGGAGTGTTAGAAGCAGTCAAGCAGAGGCTAAAGGCCTTTTGGCCCTGGGAGTAGGAGAAGGTGAGAGAGAAAGATGAGAGGACAGTGGGCCTAGATGGCCTCTAGAGTCCTTTTCACTGCTAACATTTTATCAAAGTATTAGTCATTCACTCATTTATACAGCCTCTAAGATGGTCCCCAATGATCCCTGCCTACTGGTGTCCATACCCTTGAGTAATTCCCTCTTACACTGAATGAGCTGATCTATGTAACCAATAGGTTACTGTAGAAAAGATGGAGTATGACTTCAGAGGCTAGATCATAAAAGGTATCATGGCTTCTTCTTTTCTCTCTCCTGAATTGCTGACTGTAGAGTAAGCCAGCTGCAAGCAGCCTAGAGAGGAGAGGACTCCTGCCAACAACCAGCAAAAGCTGTCTAGCTATTTGAGAGATTCACCATAGAAGCAGATCTTCCAGCCCCAGTCAAGCCTTCAGATCCCCTGCCAACATCTTGACTCAACTTCCTGAGTCAAGAGACCCTAAGTTAGAATGACCCAGCTAAGCCATGCCTGAATTCCCTACCCAAAAAGCCACTAAATTTTGTAGTAATTTGTTATGTAGCATTAGATAATGGTACAACACATTTTTGCCTGATTTGTTCCACAACAGATTTGAGGTAATACTCTTTGATTCTGTCATTAAAAGCTGAGCTATTGCTAATAAGTATTCTTAAGGAGGCAAAATTCACAGTTATTACAGATGCACAACAGCAGCCTATTCATTTAATAGTACAGTTGAGCTCAACACAGTTTGATGTCTTAACATGTTCTGTAAGGACAACAGCTTGGTTTTAAAGTGATTCATCTTATGTCTTCTCTGCTAGAAAAAAGTAATGTGCTCTTTGTTTTCCTACAGACTTGCTGTCTGTAAATAGCTGTAGCTATAATTGTGTCATCTACATTTCTTAGCTTCCACCCATCAATGTGCTCTGAAGAGAGGTATGCTACAAATTTCAATAGAGCATTTTTAAAAGGCTGTTTTCAGCATTTTAGCACCTGACAGATTTTTATCTATAAAAACAGGCCAAAGGCAAAGACAAAACCCCTATAAATTGTTTTTATGAATAGACGACTAAATCATCTCTTTGAGATTAAAAAAAAAAAAACAACCCCTATTTTTCAACACCTGAAAGTTATGAGATATTCTGGGTAAGCCTGATTATCAGAGAACACCACAAATAGGCTTGGATGTTGTACATTGTCTGTGACAGAGTCAAACAGATCTGTGGGATTGTGAGGGTTCTTTGATGGAGGGGTAACTAATCCTGCATATCCAAGTGTGTAGACTCCTGTAAGTACTCGCACAACATAAATATGCTTTCTCCCATTGCTGTCTGGTCTGGAGTACTTATCATTAGCAGAATAACTGGCATCAATAGCAAAATAAGTTCCCTTTCCATAGGCTGCAGCTGTAAAGAGAAACACAAAAGCCTTTCTCAGAACATAAAATTATCACAGTATGTAGAACCAAGCCCAAACCTGACACAAAAAATTTTTAATGTAGTTCTTGCCCACCAAAACCACTTTTCATCATTTCTAAAATTTACTCCATCTATCCTCAGAAGGTTGTCATCCTCCTTTCTGGTGACACACAATGAGCCTTATCCTGACAATGACAATATGGCTGCCATATATGGTTCTACACTGCTTGGGTGTGAAGTCAACGCTAGAACTATCATTCACCTCATTCTGGTTGGCCAGATTACTCACTTCCTTACCATTCTTCCCAGCATAACTGCGATTGAAGCCATGCTGATTGACATATGGCACTGAGTCTGCAGCTGTCCCATGATATAGGACTCTCTCATTATCTGTATGGCCATTCTTGATGTCCATATGCTTTTTCTTTATCTGGTAGCTCTTCCAGAGCCATATATTCTGTATCCTCTCTATCTGCAAATGACAAAAAAGCAAAACATTTTGAAAATGACTTTAGAGCTCAGTATATTGTGTTTGTTGTGGATTTTTAAAAAAGCAATTTGGAGGAGAAGCAGGAGGACTGGAGGAAGGAAATGAGAAGGAAAAGAAAAATAAAATGCAAATAAACAGCAAATTCAGAGAATAGGTAGCTTTCCACCTTTAGAAAAAGGCTAGGTTAAGAGTACCTATACTTTGTAATAGTGCTGATTATTATCTACTTTATATAACAGAACTTATAACTTACATAAAAATGTTTACCTGGAATTCCTGGAGATTTACTAACATTCAAATTCCTACTCAAAAATTTGTCAAGTAATGATTTCCTTAACGCCCTCTGATCTCTAAACCCATTCCATTGGCTTCTTCCAGTAACAGTTTTCTTGTATTGCTCTGATTATGGTCACAAATGACCTCATAACTGCCTAATCTAATGACTATTTCTTTCTAGACCTTCAATAACATTTCAAACCATAAATCATCCCCTCCTTGAAATTTTGTCTTTCTTGAAAAATTTTTAACGTTTATTTTATTTTTGGGACAGAGAGAGACAGAGCATGAACGGGGGAGGGGCAGAGAGAGAGGGAGACACAGAATCGGAAGCAGGTTCCAGGCTCTGAGCCATCAGCCCAGAGCCCGACGCGGGGCTTGAACTCCCGGACCGCGAGATCGTGACCTGGCTGAAGTCGGACGCTTAACCGACTGCGCCACCCAGGCGCCCCTTGAAAATTTTTTAAAAATATCATTCCCTACGGTTCTATTTCCTTCTAGAAAATGAACTTATTAACATACATTCAGTAATCATCTATTGAACATCTACTATGGATCAAGCACTGTTGGATCTCTGCCCTCAGTCTAGTGGGGGAGAAACACAAGAAAAAAAAATCACTACCTCCCAGAGTGATAAGGGATGGGTCAGGAGAATACACATGGAGTATGAAAGCATAAGAAAAGGATCCAGATAATCTAGGTCTAGGGAGAGAGGAGGAAATCTGAAAGAATGATGTTCTAGAAACAAAAGAAGAAAGTTCAAGAAGAATCGAGTGCACCCTCATGTTCACTTCAGCATTATTCACAACAGTCAAGATATGGGATCAACCTAAGTGTCCATTGATAGATGAATGGATAATGAAGATGTGATATATATATTTTTTTTTTCCATAATAGCATTCCATTATATATATATGTATATAATTCTATTATATATATAATTCCATTATATATGTATATTCTATATATAGGAGTATACTATATATATATATATATTCATACTACAGGAATATAGGATTCCTATATTCATACTATAGGAATTCATACTATAGGAATTCATACTATAGGAATAGGAATACTATTCAGCCATTAAAAAGCATGAAATCTTGCCATAGACCTTAAGGCATTATGCTAGGTGAAATAAGTCAGACAGAGAAAGACAAATACCATATGGTTTCACTTACATGTGGAATCTAAAACAAACAAAACCCACAAAAAACAAACCAAAGCTCACAGATACAGAAAATAGATTGATGGTTGGCAGAGGCAGGGGCTGGGGGGATAGACAACATGAGTGAAGAGGGCCAAAATTTACAAATTTCTAGTTATAAAAGAAATAAGTATGGGGATGAAATGCTCAGAATGGTGACTATGTTAATAATACTGAATTGCATATTTGAAAGTTGCTAAGAGAGTAGATCTGAAAAGTCCTCATCACAAGAAAAAAAAATTTTCATAACTATGTATAATGATGGATGGTAACTAGACTTATTGTAGTAATCATTTTGCAATATATACAAATATCAAATCATGTTATATACTTGAAACTAATATATTTCAGTTATTCCTCAATTTCAGTAAATAATTAAAAACAAATACATAAATAAGAAGAATGGAGTGGTAACCTGTAGCAGATGTTGAGGAGAAGCCAAGTAATAAAAGCAGGAGGGAAAGTTTTTTGAGACAGATGAAGACCTCAAGGAGATGTTGAAATTTTGCAATGGAGAATGCGTGAGGGAGTTGACTGGAGGAAGCAATAAAAATTTCAGGCACCCGGACAGTGCTGCAGAGGTTGGGGACCATGAATTAATAATGATTTTATCCAGGGGCAGCAGGAGAGAAAGTAGGCTATGGAATTAATCCAAAGTTGAGGTGTTTCAAAATGGATATGATAGAAGGATAAGAGCCAAGAAAGTTGGAGATATTGGGTAAACACAATTGAACGAGGTTCTTGTACTCTCAACATCTTTTAACATCAATGAAGCATCTCTTCCTTTAAATTCTCTCCTTTCTGCAAGAGTCTCCCTCTTTTGATTCTCTTTCTTTCTCAGGAATTAAGTTCATTTAGTAGGTACTGTGTCCTACAATATGCTAGCTACCGTGCGATCCTACCTTAAGAAGCCCACTGTCTAATGGAGCAGTCAGGCATGTGAAAGCTTATGAAAGCACAATTTCTTAAGTGCTATAATATGGTTAAGTACGCTGCTGTATGGAAGTAGCAGCTAGGTTTTTAAATGACTAGGATGGAAATATCAATTTCCATACCCTGCTCTGACATACATGGTATGATAATGACCTAATAAATTCCTGTACTGGCTAAAATTTTTATGCAGCACAGTGGATGTTGTGAGAATCTGAACATCCATTCCACTTCATTCCCATTGTACAGCAACTCCTGATTGGGTGGAGATGGCCTCACTTACAGCTCCCAGGTGCAGCCTAATTGGGTTTAACCAATCTGGATAATCTCATGATGGGATCACACAATGATGGCATCTGATAGCCCAGGTATAAGCCAGTCAGCACATAGCACTCTCCCAACACAGACTAGCTGTAGTGGTACATTCAACACAAAGCCTGGGACTCTTATCCAGTGGCTGTATCCCTTCCATGGTATGTGAATGGAGGACATAGAGACCCCCTGATTGCCACCAGCAGCCGTCCCACAATTATGAAGGGAGTCCAGCCTTCGGATGAAGGTGACAAAGCCAGAGAAACTGGATCCAAGACATCACTGAGTCACTGGATTCAACTGTTCCAAAGACCATCCTACTTCTGGACTTTCCATTAATTTCAAATACATTTCTTCTTGTTCAATCAGTTTGAGTGAGTTTGTTTGTAAATTGTTAAGTGAAAGGATCCAAACATATATATGTCGCTTTTGGGAATCTTCTTCATTACTGCTAAGGAAGGAACCATGAGATTTGAAGTCTAGGAGCTTGAGTGAGTCAAATTAAAATAAATCTAGTAAGGCATAAAGGAAGGAAGAGTGTTATTTTAAAAAGATATCTTTGATGTTAGTTCTTCAATATTTGAAGGAAGTAATTTTTTAGGCACAATATTACCTTCTCTATTTTGTAGGAAAGACAAGTCTCAGAGAACTTGTCCTTTACGGTGTCGTATTCTGACTGTCCGGGTTGTAGTTCGATCACACAGGACAGCTGCTGATTCATGTCAGTCCAGTGTTCAGGAATATTATCTGGAAAGTTAACATTTGGTGAAAACACAATATCCATTTCCAGGGACCATTGAAAATCAGGACACTTCCTATGCTCTTTTTTCTCATTCATCTAATCCTGGTCTTTGAGAAAAAACAAAACAAAACAAAACAAAAAGCTACACATTTCATCGTTGCTTCTTTTATCATCCTCAATTTGTCAAACACAGATGAAATGAATGGTTCTGACACTAACATGACATATATTAATGCCTAGCTAAAATATTTAGGTAAACTTAGGTTCACTATAGCTTGAAATTATAATTTTCCTAGACAGCGCTGTGCAATTAATTCCATAAGAAACTGATTATAAACATGAAACCCGATTTATTGATGTCTTCATATTTATCAGTTTATTTAGCGTGGTCCTTTATTATTTTTCTTTTGAAACATGTACCTTGCCAAAGTTATTTAAAACACATTATTTTGTACCCTATCTTCTACACGAAATAGAGAAAGCACTATATAAAGAAAACAGTGGAAATTCTAAGTGAAAGCTTTCATATAAGATGATGATGCTCAAAATTTTCCTTTGCTTTCCAATGGCTTCTGGAACCTTCTAACACACTGAGGCTACACACCAAGTTGCTGAGATGGCTTGATGAATAGAAATATGGACAGACTGTAGTAGAGAATAAAATGCCAGAAAATGGCACAATACCACAGATAAAGGCCAAAGGATTTCTCCTTACAAACAAAGCCAGAATTTGCTCATTGTTAGTGAAAGATATAATAATCCAGGAACTCTCTTCCTGTTTAGCGAGTCCATCCAGGGAATGAAGTTCTGATGACAAAAGGAAACATCAAACCCTAATCGAGAAGCTCTTTTCAAATTCTGCTTTAAATACTTAAGCAACAGAGTGTGTTGTTTCTGCAAATTAAATTCTTTCCTTTCTCCCAGTGTCCACTCCCTCCAGATCTTTTGGCCTCATCATGTCTAGTCCTAGGTCTTAGAGTCCTCTTGGACCTGCTACATTCTTTTCTCTGAATACAGCAAGCAAGCCTGGGAAGTAAAGTTTTTCTTTGGGCTCTCTCTTCTTTCATGTCATGAGTTTGCAGAGCAGAAAATACCAGTGCTTGGAATCAGAAGACCTGATCAGCCTCAACCTGTGACCAGCCATAAGACATGGAACAAGTAATACCACTTCTGAGTGAATTTTCATGCTCTCTTTTGCAAAATGGAACAGATACAATCTGCTCTATCACCTCATGGGATTGTTTCAAATTTAAAACATAATGAAGGGTGTGAAAGCACTTTTAGGGAATGCCAAGTCCTTTATTAACATGGTTATTATTCTCAAAAAAACAATTAATCTTGATCTTTCCTACATCCCAGAGGTATATTAAAGAGGGAGTAAAGCTTATGGAGAGCTACAGCTTGAGTCACACACTTAAACCACACCAAACCGTGCTACCTTACTCTGTGGACAAAAGATGACTGTGGTTGGACAATTTAGAGATGAGAAAACCTAGCCCCAGGAAGGCTGAATATTCACACATCCATTGTTACATGGAAGGCCTCCCTCCAAAGAAGGAACAGAATTGTGTTCTATTGACTTGCAGCCCAGTGCTTCATGGGAAACAACATGATGGCTCTTTTTCTTTAGGTGTTTACCATGCACCAGTCACTTTCCCAAGTGCTTTTCCTATAAATCTCTTTTAAAAGATAAATGTCACTCTACTTTCCCATTCCTGATGTTTGGGATAAATGCCCCCCTGCACCTCTCCTTGTGCACCCTGCCTCAGTTTCCTCTCCACAGGTGGAGGTGGAATTATACACCAAGAATCCTGCCTCTGCTTTCAGCCTTTACTCTCTCCACCTTCACAGCCTCCATGGATAATCCAGTCCACACTCAATGGCTTCAACTCCCACCTACTTACACGACTCTCAAGTCCATGTCTCTAGTGTCTGATATTCAGCTGGTGCTCAGTAAAAGCTCTCTGAATCAATCAAAGCTTTAATGTGCATTGGAAAAGCAATTGTGGACCATCGGCTCAAATGCAACTCAAAGTTGTCCTCTGTAAATTCTTTTTTAAAGAAGTCCACATGATAAATTCTTACTAAAATTCAAGTTTGTGTGTCTGCCAACAAACTTCCTTTTATCTGACATTTTATCTGCATTATTACTTTCATCTACAACGAAGATTATGTAAGGCAGTTTTGTTGTTTGTTTTTGCTCCAAGTGCCATAGGGTCACTGGTCTACTCATTTTAGTTAGCTTTTATTTGCTTGTCTCTTTAACTTTCGTGTCTATTTTGTAAATTTCATAAGTCAATTTAAATTCTCGGTGTAAGCAGGGAATGGATGAACCAGTTTCTCTTAATTTTTTACTTTACTGATAATGACTTATTGCTCTTGTATTTAAGTACAAATTTTCCTCTACAAAGACCAAAGTGGGGGGCATGTTAATTTATAAATCCCTAGATACTCTAGTAGGTATTATAATTTTTAACTATCCAGCAGCCTTTTCCCCTTCTTCTGATAAAAGCATCCTGAATTTCCTTTGGTGAACAACCCTTCCCCATTGCTTCAGAGAGTGATCCCTTTCAGCTCAAGTATAGAGCATATAGACTCTGTATTGCTAATTAGTGTAATTCCAGTTCCCTCGCTGCAATCATTACCTAAGCTGATTCAATCAGAATTTCAGCTATATGTGAACACCTCTGTTCCCAGGCATCATGTTCCTGATGATAAGTATATATTGCCACAGGATATACTCTTTCCTGTTGGACCTGACCATATAGGGATATGAGCCTGAAGCTGCTAGCAGCCATCTTTCACCATGTGAAACCTAAGCCTAAAGACAACACAGCTGACAAGAGACTGAGAGATGAAGAAAGTCAGGGTCTAGATTATATAATATGAGCACCTGGATCAAACTGGACCTGAAGCCAGGTATGAGTCAACTTTATAGTCATGTGAGCCAATTAATTCCATTTTTTTGCATAAGCCAGTTTAAATTGGATTTTCTATTATTTGCTATTACAAGAGTATTAACAGATCCAACTATTATTTTCATTTCTGTTTAGTGCATGCGTGTGTGTGTGTGTGTGTGTGTGTGTAACTCTTACATATGCTGTATGTGGAGGCACATTGAGAAGAACAGTTGTCAGAAAATAGGTGTAGGGGTGCCTGGGCGGCTCAGTCGGTTAAGTGTCCGACTTTGGCTCAAGTCATGATCTCACCGTTTCCATTTCCCAAGTTCGAGCCCCGCATTGGGATCTGTGCTGACAGCTCAGAGCCTGGAGCCTGTTTCAGATTCTGTGTCTCCCTCTCTGTCTCTGCCCCTCCCCCACTAGTGCTCTGTCTCTCTCTCAAAAATAAATAAACATTTAAAAATTTAAAAAAAAAAATAGGTGTAGAGAGCACTGAAATTCCTACTGGTAGTGTCAGACAACAATTTCCAGTTTAGGGAGGCTCCTGATGACAGGTACATTTCATCACTAGTGAAACTCACAGTGCTCTATGAGTGAGTGCTCCAAATAAACAAAAACAGTGATCGCAAGAGGAGGCTGTTTTTCTAGGCAGTACAGAAGCCACAAAATGGGGGACAGAGGGGCAGGTCAACACAGATGCTTAAGCATAATGCATACACACACACCTTACAGAGAAGCAGCTGGGAATCTGCCTGCTCATGAAGTAGCACAACCAAATGACTCTGACCACTCTCTTCTTGCATCTGCTTCTATTCCCAGGCTAACTTGTCTGGTGGTGGATAATCAATAAACCAGTATTGGTCCACTTGTTCACAGCTACAAGGGACACTGAGAGTAACACTAATCAATAAGTATATAATGAGACAACTAGCTAGGATTTTCAAAGCCTATCCTCCTCTTCCTGCTTTCTCACTTCTATCCTCTTCCTGTTCCTTTGCTATTCCTGTTTCCCCAGGAGTAATTTTGCCCCGCAGAAGAATAATCAGCTGACAGGAGGCTGCGTTCCATAGTTCGTGCACTTTCCCCACATATTATAGGAGGCTGTCTGTAAAATCCTAAAACTGATAAAACACTGAGCATTAATATCTAAACATTTGCTAAGTGATATGAGAGAGAACCACATGATCTTTTTAAAGAAGAACATCTTACATGCATTCTCGAAGAATGTGGACTGAAAGACGGGTGATGCAGAATTTTCTCTCTTTTTCATGTTGTCATAGAATACATTTAGCAGTTCAGACAGAAAGATGACAACTTTAACTTTTTTTAATGATGGGGTGGAATGTTTCCAGGCGAAGTCTACAATAGCACTGATCATGTCATCAGCAACTATGACTGGGTTTTTTCTGGCGTTGCCTGAAAAAGAAAAAAATTTTAGATGACAAAAAGAAGCTTTAGCTGGTGTTAGTCAAGTGATAATATTTGGCAGATGCAGTTTTTGGTGCCAAGAAAGAACACAGCCCCTAACAGCCAGAACAGATCTGGCGCTCATAGCTGGGTGTTGGCGTTCTCTGGCTGAACTCAAACAACTTCATAGAACAGCATCAAATGTAACCACTCTGTGGCTGTGATGAGTCAAGTCAAAAACCACCGCTGAATAATCATGTCTGACCACAGATAAAAACATGAACACCAGCCAAATCACAAAAATGGCCAAACACTCTCCATCTTGACTAATATGAGCAAGTGCTGCCTCATTTATAATCATGGCTTCTGCCACACTTTCTCCTGTTCCAGGTAAGATACCCAGTCATAGAACTATGTCTGCTTCCTTCAAGTATCCAATCCAGAGCAAAAGCCCACTTACCCTAGACTGCCAGAAAGTCACCCAACACAAGCTCACATCCCTCAATGATTCCTTAACAACCCCTTGGTGAGATGCGTGCTCCTGGTGGTCTCTGACTAAAGGGCTTTGGAAGCACAGAGAAAGGAACAGGTGATTTGGGTGCAGAAGATCTGGGTTTACGCCCTGGTTCTCCACTGATTAGCTGTGTGATCTTGTGGAAGTCATTTGATCCCTCTTACATTAGTTTGCTACGGATGCCATAACAAATTGCCATGACTGGTGGCTTAAGCAACAGAAATGTATTTTCTCACAATTCTGGAGGCTAGAAGTCTGATATCAAGGTGCTGGAAAGATTGGTTTCTTCTGAGGCTTGTAGATGGTGGTCTTCTCCCTATGTCTTCACGTGGTCTTCCCTCTGTACCTATGGGTGCTCTAATCTCCTAACAAGGACACGAGTCGTATTGGATGAGGGAGAACCCTGATGACCTCACTTTAACTTAATTACCTCTTGAAAGACCCTATCTCCAAATACAGTCAGGTACAGAGGTTAGGGCTTCAACATATGAATTTGGCCAGGGGAACATAACTCAGCCCACAACACCTCCAAACTTCAGTTTGCTCATCTGTAAAATTGGGATGATAATAGAAGGTAATAGCTAAGAGACATAAGGATGTGGCAGCTAAGAATATAGTAATAAAGGGCAAAATGGTAACAAAACCCACATAACATAAAAAAAAATGTAATGGTTGCAATGTAAAGACCAGATTTCCTGGATTTGAACCTAGTTACACTGCTCACTAGCTATATGATCTTGTGCTTTAATACTTCAAGTTCTTATCTGCAAGATGGGAAAACTAGGAGTCAGGGGTGGGTCCAGGTTTTGTAGGATTTGAAACTTATACATCTTGGAAAACAAAACAAAACAAAATAAAAATATAAAATTATGCATATAAGTGAATATTTAGACTAAAAAAAAAGAAATCACAATAAAGTATAAATTTTAAAATGTTGAAAATCATATTCTCAAGTCAACTTTCCTTAACTATATTCCAAAAATGCTTGCAGCCTCTCCAATGCCCAGTGCCAGGAAAAGTCTGAGGAGTCAAAGTGGGAAGAAACGGTGATCCTAACCCACAGTGGTTAAAATGCCTTACTTCTGAAGCTTTACTAAATCATATAACCGTGTGATGGCTTCATTAGGGCCCTCTCAGTCCATTTTAAAAAGCCTGTGTAGGGGCACCTGGGTGGCTGGGTCAGTTAAGCTTCCGACTTCAGCTCAGGTCATGATCTCACAGTCCATGAGTCCAAGCCCCACGTCAGGCTCTGTGCTGACAGCTCAGAGCCTGGAGCCTGCCTAGGATTCTGTGTCTCCCTTGCTCTCTGCCTCTCTCTCTCTCTCTCAAAAATAAATAAATGTTAACAATTTTTTAAATAAATAAATAACCTGTGTAATTGGGCACGAATGAATCATGGGGTGGGTCATTAGCATCACCTTCAACTGAGAAGAAATTACTGTATGCTATGATAGAGATGGGGGAGGAAAGTGTTCCTCAAAACTGTGAGCAGGACGGACCTGAACTTGTTGCTTAAAGGATGGCGACTGCATCCTATTCACTGATTTTATCCCTAGGAATTTGCAGTGGGCCTGGGAAAGAGCATTGCAATCTAGTGAATGTGCCAATGAGGAGCCAGTGAGAGATGCTGCTGTAAACCCAATAGGGGAGGTATTAAGGCTTTGGAAATAAACAGGAAGCCTGAAACAGAACAACCCCTGGAAGATTTAGTAGAATGTGCTGACTGTGCGGTCTGGGGGCACAAAGAAGCAGGGTACAGAACAGCTGGGGGCATCATGGCACCCCTGCAGGAGGAAACCAGGAAATGATGCAACTCAAGAAAAGTGGCTGTTTGCAAGGGGTGATGATGATGTTGAATCTGGATTCTGATATAAAGTTTCTGGTAACAGAAATCTCCCAGAGGAGATCTGGGAGAAGGAGAAACGCTGATCTGAGAGTAAGTGCAGAAAAGGCAACTGATATAATAAGAACAAATAAATCCCCCAAAGGAAAAAAAAAATGAACAATAAGAAAACCATGAAGTTAAGGACCAAACATGGAAAGATACTTAGGGAACATACAATTAAGGACAAAGATGTATGAGAGAGGCATAGGCCCCATAGATGGCCCTCAGGGTCTGAAAGTTTGCCTACTCTGGTTTAATATCACTATCACTGCCTGGACTCAGCATGGAGTTCATAAACAGTGAGCCTAAGTCTAAAGGAATCTGGATTATTCAGAATCTCTGAGTGATGAGAGGCTGCAAACCTGTTCCGATGGCTGGAAAGGAAACAGAAGTGTACTTCCTCTGCTCACACTCTTCCAGAACAGTGGAAACCGTTTTTCTGACATCATTTTCCCCAAGAACATGAATTATTATCTTGCACATTAAGTATCCACCTTGTGTAATTATAAAATCTCTGTGAGGCTGTACAGCTGGAACAAAAGAAAGAAGGAAACACACAGCACATTACTTACAGGAAGCAACACGATGACCACTGAGAAATGAAAACAGCTGAACTCAGAAAAGCCGTGACGATTCCTGACCAAGTCCAGCCTCCCTCCATCTAGCTGGTTTCCCTCACTGGGACTGTGACAGGCTCATTTTCTTTACAATCAGGATTCTTCCCCACCCCCCCCCCTTATTATTATTATTTTTAAATTTATTTTTAGTCTTAAATTTACATCCAAGTTAGTTAACATATAGTGCAATAATGATTTCCCGTAGATTC